AAGTAAGTTATTCGTGTGACTTGTTTTCATGACTTCATATACTGGTCAGTCTATGATTCCCGGGTAGTTCTAGCCTTAATAATATAAATCATAGGTACGAATTTCAGAAGAATATTTATTAATAGTGACTGATACGCGAAAAAGAACATTGAGGGTGTAGCTATGAAATTCTTACGGATCTTATAAGGCCAACGATAGGATAGTGGACCAAAAAGCAGAACCGTTGTCTTAATTTGTTAAAAGAGCTAAAACGAATGATTACAAATCTAAAATGATTGTTTGAAGCGCATTTAGAACATGTTTACATATCATCGTAGTGATTGCACAATGTAAATCTACATAATATTAGTCACAAATGCTTGTCTCAAAGTCTGAAACTTTCAATTTAAACTATAAATTGATTAAAATAACATTTTAATCTAAGGGACGATCTTCAATAAATTTTCTTAATTATTTACATTAATTTAGTTATAGGAATTCTTTAAAGACTTTCAAATTGAACTTACTAACATTCTATAGCTACACTAAATATATGTTTTATAAATGGCTTTCGCGGAGGTCTTAATCAAAACTTAGCAAAACAATAAATTTCTTTTAAGAAGTTTATCAGGCTTTATTAAATTGATTAATCATCAACTTATTTAAATAAAATTAGCTTACAATATGCAGTTGCTACGGAATACCTCCATTCCAAAAGAAGAAAATTAAGGTTGTATATCTATAAATTAATGGCATATTTTTTTTGAAAAATGTTAATGACATGTACTATGTAACCATCTGCGAGATAAAGCATTGAACATGTTTATGATACTAATATGTTCTTATAGAATCAAAAATCGCCAAAGACTTATCTTTAACATTTGCTTATTAAACAATTTGAAAATACTTTTATAGAATTTGAAAAATTGAAATCACCAGGGAAAACAAGGTTTCCTAAATGCAGCTTAACAATATCCAATAGCAAAAGAATCAAATGTGGCATCAAAGGGGAGGGGGCAGGTAACTGGGAGAAAAAAAAGGGCATTTATTAACTAAAATGGAGTTAAGGTTTGATTATAAGCATAGGTATTTATGTACCTATGTATAATGTATTCTTATGATGTTTGCTCTTTTTTTTACCTTTTTTTGTTTTATGACACGGTGACCGTGAAATATGTAAAATGAGAACAACATTTTTTTAGTTTATTAATCTATAGTCTTGATTGAATAATTTTATAAAAGATTATTAAAATTTTGCAACAGATACGCACACTGTCATAAAATATTTCATTGAAATATAAATACATGTAAAATATCATACAAATAATAAGTTTATAACACATAGCAAGTAGTCTGGACAACAAGTTCCGGATAAAATTAGATAAAAGTTAGTTTCCTTACGAATCTTTTCCGGGGTAGTTACCTTGTCTAGATTACCTTCCCCCGGTGCAAAAACTCCCAAAAGGGCATTTTTCCCGGGGATGGGAACCCAAAGGGCAGGGGGGTTCCGGGGTTTTGGAAGTAAAGGACTCTAACCCTCGTAGGGAAAGGCAAGTTTTATTCCCAAAAAAAAAATTAAAGACTATTTTAAAGGAAAAACTTGGGGAAGAAAAAAGGTCACTTTGAAAAGGGGGGGCCCTTTTAAAAGTTTTTCCCAACCATGGACCCCAAATTTGGTTTAAAATATCCCATGTTTATGGCAAATCCCAAAACTTTTTCCCAAATGAAAAAAGAAACATGATTTATAGCCTTTTTTAAGAAAAGGGCTTTTAAATTGATTATTCCCCTTTTTAAAATTTTCATTTTTAAAAAAAAACTCATAAAGTATAGTACAATGTAGATAGTTTTGCGACGGTCATGTAAAGGGTTCTTAGATTTCAGATAGTACAATAAATCAGTTCCCGCTGGCAACTGAGTATGCTGTGTTAGGCTTAACTATTACTGTCATATACTGACACTTGGGCATGGTCCCGGACAATAAGCTTGAGAAGGGATACGTTTTGTAATTGGATACATCTGCACTGACATGGAAAGGTCATGAAATAAAGAAAAAACTATTTACATACATTCACTAAAATTGTTTATTTTTTAAAACCGGTCTGAACTCGAATTGTGTTGCATTGTTAACATTAGCGACATATAGTGGTCGCCATATTGGGTCGTGACCTTTACGAGTGTCAGATGAGTTATCGATTTTTTTCCAATGCTGTTTTCAGATAATTTTAATATAATCAGTCTGAGGCTGCGAGTAAAAATTAATTGTACTGAAATCAAGGTAGTCCAATGAAACAATTACATGATTTGTGGGTTAATAAATTATTAGCTTTCGTTGGACAAACACTGCGATCTATTTTTAAACGAAAACGTTTGTTAACAAGTTTTTTTCTTCGGTTTATCTTTTATTGATTAGTAGAAAATCTTCGCCAGGAGGGGGATTTTAGACTTATTTGGTGTAAGAAAGGTAAGTAATTCTGCTTAGGAAAGTAGCGGATCCAACAGAAAGCAAGGGGAGGCTCTGCGATGTAATAAACAATACCCTTTTTGTGTAACGTTTCGGGGAGCGATCCAAAGTCGGTAAAAACAGTTTTAAAAGGCAAAATTTGGAGTTGGCTGTCACAGTCGTTTTGTCGGCGTAAGACACAGGAGTCGCTTTATTTAAACTAAATGTATAGTTATATGCGTGCCGGGGGCATACAATCATGGCGCATATTGACAGGGAGTCCGTTTAATTTAGGGGTTCGTTAAGACAGTCTCGACTTTATACGGTGCTTGTTTAAAACGCATTCAAAACAATTTTTGTGTATAACTCGAGTACCATCTGCTGTTAAAGTAACTGAATATTTTACTTGTTTGACAATTTTCTGCAATTTTCTGCATCTTTCTGCATCTTTCTGCATCTTCCTGGCAACAGTAAGAAATAAAGACTTGACACATGTAGAATAGCAAAAGAAAAACGAATCCATAAGCAAACATCAAAACGGCAAAAATTTAAAATGTTGCATGTTTGGTTTGATTGGGCCAAGTTCAAGCTTGGACGTAATTCAACGATTAAAATGAAATGGTACACACAGATTGTCTTTCGAAACATCCCACAGATGTGTTTAATGTACGGAGATTATCTTGGAACATTCAATGTGACAAGCTCTAAAAGGTAAACGAAGGGTGATTATGCAGTCGTCAGGTAGATATACTACTATACTAGACAAAAAGCCAAAGAGAAGTAACTATACCATAAACACACTTAATATTATTTTGCTTTACGATCAAGAATCGGAAAATATAACACATTTGACTGACTGGAACTTGCACTTAAATATCCAAAAACATATCTCATATATTTGAATAATAATCCAATCTTTAAAAATGCTTCTTTAAAAAGAAAAGAAATGGAATCACTAAAGAACGCAAAAAACATCAAAAATTAAAAATGTTGCAGGCTCGGTTTCATTGAGCCTTTTCATTGACAGAACTAGAAAGTGCAAGTTACTGTGTACGTTCCCTAGAACTGGCTTAAGATTTTTGTATAAAACGAAAACAATTTTTCGTCCCAAAATGAAAAATAATGAAAGAAATTGCGACAAAAGACATACCAAAATTATTTCAAAGAATCCAGTATATCTTTAGCAGTTTTGCTTATATAGTCTGAGACAACTTCTTCCGATTTTCGAATACATGTAATTGCATAAATTTATGAACAATGCATCGCGACTCACATTTATTATTACAGTAAAAGTAAACATAAAATGTCTTAACTAAGAACAAACGTTATGTTGCCATATTAAAAATCAAAATAATCTAAATCGATATTGGGCAACAATTAGAAAATCTTTGCAAAAGGACGCTGAGCCTTTTATTAGTATTTAGCTTACGGCATACTGGCTTACTCTTAAAGCTACATGCTTCCAGTTGAGCAAAACTCTGAAATTCTAACCTCGGACTTAATTTGTGTATTTTATTAGATTCAATATCATCAACATACAATTTCGTATATTAAGATAGTAAAATCATTTGAAAAATCGAACCACAAACGTTTTTATTATGACCAAGAACATATATTTTATGAGAGAGAAATAAAGAATTTTACGAACTTGCTGTACTGAACCTGTTTATAACATGCCTTAAGCACCGGTAAAATTATTGCAAAAAAAATAGATTGTTATCTTCGGATTTACAATATAGCACACGTGACAAATTTTGCAAACCCCATGATTACACAAAGTTTAAGTTAAGATAACCACGCACAATTTGTCATATTCAATCCAGTAACTGAGAAATATCAATCATGGCAAGTACCTGTTCATTACTTTGTAATAATTTGTATTCCTAAAAATTTCTTTTGCTTCATAATTTTTTTATTTTCTTGTTTGCTGTAATCTCAAAAATAATTTAACTCCTCAAAAATGTTTTAAAAAAAAATTGTGTTTTTTTAATATTTCCTTAACTAGTACATTTGCTCTTCAGCTAAAAAAGTCACAATCGAATGTTGAAATAGGTCAACCATTAACTGAAATAAAAGTGGATTTGCTGAATGATTATATAAGAAATCTTTTATTTTACTACGAACAAATTTATAATTTCAGAAGCATCTCTTATCATTTATAGATTTTTAGCGTTGCGGAAAATGTCATTTATGTTTTTAAAAATTTCTTTTTCAAAGTTGTCTAATAATGTTTATAATGAATCTGTAAAATATTTTTTTTTTTTTTTTTGGGGGGGGGGGGGGGGTGGTGTTTCGAACGGTTATTTCTATGTTAAATACAAAGAAATCTAACACAAAGTCATTCTCATTGCATATATAATATAAACAAAAATAAGATAAGATAAAACAAATTTTAATACAATAATGTGAATATTCATGTGTAACGAATTGTTAATATATTCACTTCCTCTTATAACATTCAATTTAATAAACAACTATTTTCTGTGTATAGAATATGTCACAATTTTTTTTTTGGAAATGTAGCACTAAAAAACGCTGGTGTATAGACGAAAACGGTTAAATTTGTCTTAAATCTGTGAAATATATTTTATTTTTTATGTATCAGGGATGTTCATGCCTAACAATAATAGTTGGAATAGTGTTAATACATATTTCAAAAGCAGGTATGTAAAATTCTTATTGTAAATACTTAATATGATATCTGACAAATTACATATCACAGTTTAAACGATTGTAAGCCTTTAAAATCCGCCCGTATTAAGTCTTTTTAACAATTTCCTGTATGGCATATCACATGTATAGATAACAAAAATATTGTATACTTCAAAAGTGTTTCCTATGGTTAGTTTCAAAAAAGAAATCAAGCAATTGAACAATTAAACTCCATCGTGCAGGAATGTATTTTTTTATAATACTGTACTTTTGTAGCGTGGACATTCATTGTAAAGTGATGTAAATAGCATCTATAAATAATGTTTTTGCAACAATTATGAACTATTTTAGACTTTGTTTGATATAACAGGACAGTATTATGAAGTATTATATATTAGTTAGATAATCTTTTTTATTGGCTGAATGATCCTGTAAACGGGCTGACAACAATATAATGAAGATAAAAGCTAAATAAATAAAAGCTCATTTAGTATCTGCATATTAAGACGAGTTTTTGTATTTGAAAATTACGTTTTAAGAAGTAATTTCTTTATCTAACAATTTTGTGATTGAAAATAGATGTCTTGTTACACTCACCCTATAACTATACTATCATAGAAAACTTTTGTCAGGTCATACAGCTGATAAGAAAACGTAGTTTGATTGTTTGTTGTATGATAAATGTGAGCTACGTGTGACTTTCATTTCTAGCTCTACCCACTGGATGTACTAGTGGCACTCCGACTTGCCCCGGCAATTCCGCTTGTAAGAGAGATGCGTGTGTTTGTAACGACGGTTTTAAGCTTGACTCAACAAAAAATGGATGTGAAGCAAAAGGTAAGTGTTCGTGCACGAATTAGGTTATATATTTATAAAATTGAATTTATTAGATTCTAAAAAGAAAACAAACCTGTCCTTCATGGCTGCCCAACAGAAGATCATCATTTTTAAATGTTCCGGGAAGGAATATCTTATCCGAATGACTTTAAAAAACTAGTTAAGTGATACAAGTCAATTAGTATTAAAACAAATCCAACAATTTCTAAGATAATATTCGTAAGATAAATTCATAGTGACTTAATTAGGTACAAAACCTCTACGGAATATTGATATGAAATGCTACATGATATCAGATTGTACAAATTTTTATCTTTATTAATTAATCGTCACGTCAGTATTTGCTTTAGATTTATTTTTGTATCTTAGTTAACCACATAATTGATATACTCCAAAACAAACTTCATAGATTTAAGTACCGTAATACACTACTTGGAATATGATTGTATCACAAAATATAATGCTTCAAATTATACCATACCTTTTTTCAGTATTTGGTGATTCTTGTGATTCAACAAACGGTTGCACAGGTTTATTGAATACCGCTTGTACAAATAGCAAATGCGAATGTGCTGCCGGATATGCAAACAAGAATTCTGTTTGTACCAAAGGTAAATATTCAAATTACTAATTAAAACAGAAATGAATTAAAAAATCGACTTTAGGTGAATAGTTTTAAAAGCGTGCATTGTTTCTTCGGCACGCGAATATACAAAGATATTAAAAAGTCATTGAAACTACTTTAGATAAGATATTTAGCTAATTTCAGCAAATCGTTCAAATTAAACTTTAACATACATTTAAATGCAACATTTCAATGGCATGCATAAATATTTAAGTGTATGAAGTCAATATTTTACTTTGAGATGCTAAATCTAACGTAGGTCTCCGAATTGTAACACAAAAAGTATTTAAGCTAAAGCTTTGAAACGTCAAAGGTTGATAGATCTCACGGAAGAGGTTTGAAGAGCGCGGAGAAAAAAAATGGCTATATATCTAAAACGATTTAAATCAAGTGTTATTTGTTACTTCAAATTTTATCCATAGCAAAAGTGATCACAGTTGTATGTAAAGTTGCAGAAACTGAATGTGTTAACATTGATCATGCTGACTTCGAAAATCAGAAATATAAATGCAACGCTGGTTATACATATAAGACACAATGTAGGAAGCACGTGTGTACAAAAGTGAATGAAATATATACACCAACAATCTTCATAAGTTTAATTTACTTGAGTATGTGCAGGTTGTCAACAAGACATGCATTAATTTAAGCTGGTGTTTGACTTGTATCATGCCAATATACATACTTTTGTGAAAAACAACTGTCATATCACCGAAATATTGTTCATGTGCACTGTTAAAATAGCTTAAGCCTGAACTTTTTGATAACTAGTGTCGACTCGGTTTAAAAAAAGAAATATGTTTATAACAAATTGTCTTATATACTCATAGCAAGAGTATCTGAAGTTTTTTTTTCTACACCACGGAGTTATAAATGCAATAATATTTGAATTTAAAAGAAAGACAAAAGCAACGACAAATACATTATTATGTTGTCTGTAAAATATTTGGAGAATAACCCAGGAAGCATTGGTTGGCAAGAATCTGAAAAAAGTGCGTATCTATGATAGGTGCATGTTTTATAAGAATGCAAGTTTTTCGGCTCGAAAAGATTTAAAACACAAAGCTAATTTCAGCAAATAATTTACGATTAGACTGTTTGTTAATAAACACTTAAATGCAACATTACAATGATGTACCGCAATAGTTTAAAGTCTTTAAAGTCTGAATTATTAGTCATATATTTTGTAAAGGAAAAAATCAGACCTTATTTTGTAAAGGAATATGTCAGACCTACCATACTGATTTAAACCTTTAACTGTTCCCGTTTTCTTTTACAAATGTCAACCTTAACTTCTGCAATTAATTTCGTCTCGTCTTTATTATTTCATACCTTACTTGCAGTTATTGGAGGATCATGTTCAGGAACTGCTGCATGTCCTGGTGACGTTAATACAATTTGCAAGAATTCCTTATGCGCGTGTGCTGATGATTATGTAGAGAAAACCAACGTTTGCACAAAACGTAATTTTGTTTTTATTTAATTGTATATGTATTTAGGACGTATCTATTGACGCTTTGTTTAAAAAGAATTTGCAGTCAGTAAACGAACTTAATTATATAAATAAGAAGGATTTGTGTGTTTGAGGTATGTATTATATTCAATATTTACTTTGTTTTAGCATGTGTGCATACTGTTACTCATTATTTTACGTAAAAAGGATTTCAGATGGGATGCGTCAGACGGTGACATGCATTCCATATGAAATACATTTAATGATCCTGTAAGAAGAAACTACAACAAAAATACGGTCCGGTGTAAGATTGTCGAACGTAGTTATTCAGGATATTATGTAGATTGATCTACGTACATATGCTAACAAAAAACAATCACTACAACATGTTGTCTATAAGGAAAAGGTAGAAGGAAAATGTTTTTATTGATAAATAATTTATAGGGTATATCTTCAGTGCAATTCTTTTGTCTAGGCTATGATTCAAAATGTTTAAGAAAAATCAGCTTGAAACAACTCTCATATACAATATTTGTACTTTTTTCATTGCCTTTTGATGAGTATTTAAATGACAGTGTTTGCATTTTAAATCGTTTTGTTACAATTGTTCGGCGGGGGATTTGGCAGTTTATGACTGCTAGCTAGTATCAGTGAAAATGAAATGTGAGGAACAAATTATGATTAAAAATTTTGTTGCGATTTCATGTTGTTTTAAAAACCAAGCAAGTCAAAAAATGTTTGATGCAAAGTTGGAAAAGTAGATGCTTTGACTAAAGAATCCTTTAATACCCAACCAATAGAATTATTGATATTAAACCTTTTATAAGTAAACCCACTTTGAATGTCATGATCTTGGACAATTCATGAAAGATTGTTATTGAGTATATTCACTTCTTTCCAAGGGCCACTGATTTCGTTATAGAAAAACCTGCCTTTGAATATGAGTGTACTTCTTTCAATGCCTGACAGTTAACAATGAAGATAAGCATAATCTTATTTATTCGCAGCTGACTGTTTGGGGGAAATTCAAGCGTATGTAAAGAGCGGTTGGTTTATTGATTAATCGATACCAACTCCCTTAATAATGTTGTATTTATTTGAAGATTTCTTAATTTGTTTTTCTTAATTTAAACTGTAAAATGTTAGCAATATGTGTTATTTGAATAAAACAAATGTTTTATGACCAAGAACAAAATTAACAATATAAAACCAAAAGTAAAAATAAATAAGACTTACTTAATGATTAAAGTCTTTTATTATCATAAGTCTAAGATCAAGCAAAGTCAGGTTTAATTTTGTCTGTATAAACTTAAGCAACCATTTTTCTGAAAACGGAAATTATTAGAATAATTATACCTTTTATCTTGTTAAGCAAGGGTTTCTTCGATAGCGTGTCCTACAGATAGTGAGTGTAATAAAATTGGTCACTCAAAATGCGACACTCCAAATCATAAAATTTAATGTAAGTGTGGTGCTGGTTATGTTGCAAATTCTCCTGAAGGGGATACCTGTGTTCAAGACTCCCAACAGACCAAACGTAAGCAATACAAATAAGGTGATATTTGATGATAGAAGAATGTACATGTAATGAACATAAAAAATGAGAACGTCTTAAATCTATTTTACAGTTTCAAGATCAAATATACTCTGTAAATGAAATTAAATATTTTTAGTTTGTTAAGAAAGAACAATCGTATTAAACGATCAGCCATAAAAATAGATCACATAATAAATTACACACAATTATAATCATTTTTTACTACGATTTGTAAATATTGGGAATACAGGATTTGTAAATTAGTTGAATAACGAAGAAGTCAAATATCCTCTATAAAACTTCAGCGTGAATACTTATTCTTAAATCATCAGTACAGACGAACACATAAAAAATAGGCTCAAACAATGCGTTTCGTTTGTCAGGTAAACACTAAAACAATTTTGAATTTATGTTAACAAATCATGTCAAAGTCAAAATTCTTCTTCTCAGGTCATAACATGACAACATGATAACTATAGTAAACATTCTAACGCTTAAAA